TCTATTGATATTTTTCCCATCTCATCAATTTTCTTAGTTGATCATATAAAAATGGCAGTAAACTGTTAATTTTGTTTTATGTTAAAAATTGTTAAAAATGAAAAAAAAAACATTTCAGAACAGTGCTGTCTTGTTTACATTTTGGCAATTTCAAGTTGTGACTTAGAAGTTCCATGGGCCTGAAGACCTTTGCTAGTCACATTTTCTGAATATCCATGATACTAATATTTTATTATTAAAAATTAATGGACATTATGCTGTTAAACATTATGTAATATTGCATCAAAATTTGAAAAAAAAAACTATTTTGGGCACTGCTCCCATGATGACCATTTAAGAAAAACTATGCCACTTATTGTTCTCAAACAGTACAGTAAATATATATAAATGTGTCTGTACATATTGCCATCACCCTCATCTGTCGTTGCCGACATCGCCGTTGCTGGCGCTACAAGCACTTTCATTGTAAACAGGATAAGTGGAAGGCAGTTTTACTTTTTGGCTTTATATTTACAGAGCTGATGAATATTCATAAAATGCAGGTCAAGTTTGAAAATCGGCATGATCGGGCCACCATTTTAGTAGTTATGCTTTTTTTTCACTTTTCAGCATATATGCAACACTGTAAACACAACATAATAAAAACAGATGGGCCAATTGTCATTAAACTCACAGGAGTGGTCAATCCTGCTAAAACGCAGGTTGAGTTCAAAAATCAGCATAATCGGCCCATTATTTTAGAAGTTATGTTGTTTTTTCATGTTTCCTCAGATTCAATTCTTAGGCATGTTAACAGTTTCATTATTTAATTAACAAGTTACGTAAAAGTGTTTGCTTAACATTTCCTGCATCTTTACAACATTGTTAGTTGATTTTGTAAAAATGATGGTAAACTTGTTATCGTGTATTGTGTAAACAAGTTTCAAAAATGGAAATAAACTCATATCATTGCAGTTTGTCAGATTCAATCATTCACTATGTTCAGAATCTCAGAATGGAAGAAATTGGACATTTAACACTGCTCTATTGATATTTTTCCCATCTCATCAATTTTTTAAGTTGATCATATAAAAATGGCAGTAAACTGTTAATTTTGTTTTATGTTAAAAATTGTTTAAAATGGAAAAAAAACATTTCATAACAGTGCCATCTTGTTTACATTTTGGCATTTTCAAGTTGTGACTTTGAAGTTCCATGGGCCTGAAGACCTTTGCTAGTCACATTTTCTGAATATCCATGATACTAATATTTTATTATTAAAAATTGATGGTCATTATGCTGTTAACCATTATGTAATATTGCATCAGAATAGAAGAAAACACAATTTTGGGTGCTGCTAACATGATGACCATTATGGGAAAACCATGTTACTTATGATTGCCAAACTTTCAAAAAAGAAACACAGGACTAAAATGCAGCCGGAGTTGGAAAAGCAGTCTAATTGGCTTCTTTTTCTGGAAGTTATACATTTTCAAAGTGTGAACTTGAACTCCCATGGGCCTGAGGCCTTATGCTTGTTACACATTTTACTTACATTGGTATTACCTGTTGAGCATAATTGTACCACCAGCGTTTGGTTTTAGTCCCGTCCGGTGTCACGTGTACGGTCCGTTCTGCGTGAACCATCCGTCCTGACCGATTGTACACGCAGCAGACGCGTGTATGAGCCGTTCTGTGAATGATCCGTTGTTATTCACCTGTACAGTTATATTTGGCTAGTTCATTTCCTACCACATTATACATTTACTATGATGGGGATCAAATTCATGTGTTAATTGATAATTTTGATAGAGAATCAGCGTCAAATTACAGCTCGACGCATGGATGAACCTACCGTGGACGGGCCGTCGTTATTCAGCTGCTGGCTACTATTTTAGTATTGATTTTAGTATTGATTTTACTAGGCTAGTGTGTTGATATGGCCACCTGAGGGAAATCCCTGTAGAGGTGAACATCTTTAAGATATGAATACTTCTGAAGATTATGTTTGAATTTGCAGTATGTCCTCAACAGTGCATGTTCATTAAAGGCTAAGAATGTATTGATGACTCTATAGAGACGGACTGTACACGCCGGAAGTCTCTCAGATTTGCCTGCGCTTTGTGCGCATGAGCAGAACGGATGATTCACGCCCCGAGCGGTACACGCCACACCGGTCCGTTCCGCCGGCTCCACCGCCATGTTACCGTTACCGCTTCTCCTCCTAGATGGTAAGGGCCTCCATACCCATCTCTTGGATTTAGGTCACCTATAATCTCAACTCGTTCCACGTAAAATTTGGGCTTTGTTGGTATTGGGGTCTAGGTGTGGCACACATTGCAATGCACCCTTGTCCAAAAATGGCAAAATTAAATGCTAATTATCTACCCTACGGAAGGAATTATGGGAAAATTTTCTACTGACGGCTTTCCAAAAGTCATATGTGGAGATTTCAAATATGCCCTTGGATTTGACCTTTGACCTTTATTTTTTTGTATTCCATACGGTTTTTGAGTTACGCTGTATCAAAAAGTACATATTGGTGGTGAAAGCAAAATGTGCAGTACGGTAATGGATAATAAATTTTGAACCCCGGAAAAATAAAACATAAGGCTTGGTGAGGCAGACAACTTGTGGTCAAAAATGACATTATTTTATCAAATTTGAACATCTGGAACTACAGAGCACCTCCCATTCCAAGAATTTTGACCAAATTGACTTTATTTATTTATTTTAATTAATTTTTTCTGTAGGAAATTTATGGCACATTATTGTAACTCCAAAATTATAACATTTAGTCCCTTATATCTCCAAAACTGGCAGAGATAGGTCCATAGTTACTATTGAAGTTGAATAGGAAGTCATACACTGGCAATCTAAATATGACCTTGAAATTGACCTTTGACCTACTTTTCATCATGAATTGAACTTTGCAAATTTTGGTTCCCTTTTATCTCCAAAACTGGCAGAGATAGGTCCATAGTTACTATTGAAGTTGAATAGGAAGTCATATACTGGCAAT